ATCCCCAGTTCCACAATAAATAAATAAATAAATAAATAAATAAATAAATAAAATCATAGACTAAATAATTGAATGTCTTTCAAACTGGAAATGTTAAATATTTATCGGGATCAAAATGTACCTTTTCCTAATAGTAGATTACAGCACCAAAAATGTGGTGTGACTGATTTACTTTTCAGACTAGAAATGGCAGGAAACCTAGTGCACAGAGGTTAGGCCTTATGTTTCTCTGCTGTACCAAGGACTCCGGGAAACACAAATCAATTCTGTCATATTTAATTCACCTGCCCTAGACTTGTTGGAAAAGCCAGTGTTTCATATACTACTCTAATACAATGCTTTTTTATTGTTATACTCACACAGCAGGTCACTTAATTGGTCTTTTCCCACTTTTAGATACTTATATTTATCTGCTTGTTTTATTAGCCATCTGTTCAAGATAAAATTCTACATGATATCAGACTGCAAATTAATTTGGCTTACTAATAAATAATCAGAGGGAGAGGTAAAACTTTAGCATTAATTTGAAAGGAACACAAGAAAAATCAAGATCAAGAATATTCCTAAACTTAATTTTCACTTTAATACACATGGAAGACAGTTATAGTGTAACAATAATTTACTATGAAGGCAGAACTTATCATTTGAAGTAAATGAAATAAGTTGTTTCTCATGGATACAATCCAAAATGTGAATTTGAGTAGCTTCAGCTAACTAATATAACTTATTTATTCTTTCAAATATGCACATTCATTCAAGATAGATAGATAAATTTAAATATATTCTTAATTGAAGGGTCATAGCATCACAGTGTTGTTGGTAAGAGAGATCTAGATTTGGAGTTGAATGCGCCCACAGGTGATGAGTGCTGATTTAGATACCTACCTCTGTTGCTTATGTAACCTATAGTCCCAAGTGTCTATAAAATGGGAATATAATAGTTCCTATCATGTAAGGACTTAATGATGATTAAGTGAGTTAAAACACAGAGATCAAAGAGATGTCTGAAATAAAGAAATAATAAATGTTACTTGTTACTATTTTTTGCTTTTATTATTATTATTTAGTACAGGATCTACAGGGTCTCACTACATAGATCCGACTCATAGTGATCCACCTGTGTTCAGCTTCTCAAGAGCTGGAATTACAGGTCCATGCCACCACACCCAGTCTTAAGCACCATCTCAGTATGCCCCAGGGGTGGGGCTGGCATGGCAGGCCAGGGATCAAACCCTGGCTGCTGCGTCTACCTAAGCAGGTGCTTTAATCTGCTGAGCTATTTGGCCAGCCCATTACTTGTTCCTATTAATCAACTCTTGTTTCAGTCAACTGCTGTGCTTAAATTTTCATTTCCTGAACAGTACATTGACACTGACTTTGGCATGTTTTAGTGGCAGCAAAATGAATTGATGCTGGTGTATTCTTAGTACACGTAATTGTCCATGAAGATGAGTTAGCTATTATCATTACTATTTACTTTTGTTCCTTGCAAGAAGACATTGGTTTTATTTGAGAGACTAAGCATGTCTATTCTTCTTATTGCTTTCTTAATCACACTCTGGTTTTTACGAGCATTGCTTTTGGTCAATAACTTCTAGTTGGATAAAACTTCTGGGATAAACAGGGCAGATTTCTTTTTCAGATTTGAGCTGACATGGGAAAAGGTCCTATAAGACATTAACATCAACCAGTTGCTTCATTTCCATCAGTCCCATATCTTGGCTCTGTTACTGTGCTTTGCCTCTCTGTAGACTGAATGCAGAAGGAACATTGTCCTCTGGATTCTTTAACCTTTTTGACCTGAATCTGGGACTTTCATAGAATCTAGCTTAAATGAAATTTGTTTCACTGAAATTCATTTTCTATATACTTATAATCATTTAGAGAATCCACCTTCAAAAAAAAAATACTCATGAAGTTCCCAAACTGGAGTTTGCAATCTTGGGGACTCTAATGTTCATTTTATCCAAAATGGATGGGTATGTGTTGGGGAAAACATCCTCATTTGCTTCTCTGTTTTCCACTTAAATTTATATTCAGGAAATTCATCTGCTGGGGTTTTTGTATGAGGACTGAAAGAACGTGGGCCGTGGTAATGTTTAGAGGATCAAAATTTTAGGAAGAAAGAAAGTGAGGGGAGGGAGAGAAGAGGAGGGAAGGGGGGTAAAGGAAAGAGGGGCAGATGGGCTGGGGAGATGGTTCAGTGGAATAAGCACTTCCCTGGCAAGTGCAAGGACCTGAGTTCAATCCCCAGTTCTGCCAAAAAAAAAAAAAAAAAAAAAAAGGAAAGAGGGGTGGGAAAGAGGAAGGAAGAAAGGAAGGTAGGAGAGAAAGAAAAGGAGAAGATGAGGAAGGAGGTAACAAGAGATGGAAGCAGAGAATAAAGGGAGGAAGAAAAGAGGGAGGGTTGGAATGAGGAAAGACAGAAAGAAGAAGCAAGGTGTCAGGGTGCTTGGACGCTGTAGCAGAAGGTATTAACCTGTGTTTCCAGAGACAGAAGTTCTCCTCTGGTAAATGAGTGACTGATGATCAACCTGCTAGAATCCCACTGTCTTCGGAAGGCACAGTGAGTGAGCGTGGCTGAGCAGCTAGTCCCGGGGAAGCCATTCCTGAGAACATGTGTGACAGTCATGGACAATATGGAACCCCTGGGAGCCAGCTGGGTGACCAGATGTCCTAAGAGGGTCAGCCATGCATTCAAATTTCTCTTCATGGACATGCAGTTGCAGCACTTGGCCAGGAGACATTTTTCAAATGTACATGATCTTAGAAATCTTCTAGAATAGCAGACCTATTATATGAAAAGAACACAACTTCTCTTTTGAGCTTAAAGAAAATAAATACTCAGACTTCAAAATCATTGATTTCTTCTAAATGTCCATTTATATATTGACTTTTTTTGTAAGTTTCTCAAGCAATTTACAAGTGTAGGAAAATGTAAAACATTACCTAAGAGGAGGCTACAGCCTAGAAAAAGAAGTATTGCTCTTCTGTGAGGTCAGCCTCTGGCTGTTAACTAAAAGCTGGAGTTTGCTCTGCACAAACCCTCCTCCTCCTGGAAGGATATATCTCCACTGGGAACATTCCATAGCCAGAGTGCTCAAGAGGAGCTAGAGGGCTTGGTGAGTTAAACAAGACAGAGGTGCTGACACAGGGGTGCCTGAGGCTTGGGGACCTGAACATTGCAATTTGAGATTTAGGAACAACTGAAACTTGATGCGGACCCTAAATGACCATCAAAGGGACTTTGACTTTCCTCAATCCATAACATCTTGTCCTGAGACTTCACAAGTTCTGTCCCTTTCTATATTTTCAACTTCAGAAGGATGCTTTGTATCTATCTATCTATCATCTATCTATCATCTATCTATCTATCTATCTATCTATCTATCTATCTATCTATCTATCGTCTATCTATCATCTATCTATCTATCTATCTATCTATCTATCTATCTATCTATCTATCATCTATCTATCTATCATCATCATCATCTATCTATTTAACTATGTCTGCCATCTGTCTGTCTGTCTGTCTGTCTGTCTGTCTGTCTGTCTGTCTACCTACCCACCTATGGAACATTTATATCATACGGCCATTTTCTTCAGTCAGTAAGAATTGGACAGGTCACCACAACTTCCACTGTGCTGAGCAGGTGTGAGATGATAGGTCCTTCTTGACTGCAGCTTTGCAGCCGATTCCTCGCAGCTGAAGTGTTTTTCTAAAGCTGTGCCCAAGCCCACCCCTCTGCAGCCCCACTACTTAACAGCTGTCAACTCCTTCTCATCACTTGTTAAATCACCCCCCCCCCCATTGCCTTAGGAGGCTCTGCATGGACTCGGTCAGCATCTGTTGTCACTTTCTCTCTTTCATTGTACTTCAGCTGAGCCTTCGTTTTGTTCCTCATTTGCCCCTAGCTCTTGCCTTTCTCAATTCTGTTGCTCCTTTCTCTGGTTGTGCTGTGCCTTCCGGGATCTGCATGTTGCTGTCTCTGCCTCGGCTATCTGCTCTGTTTTCTTCTCCAACATATTCTCCTCCACAAATTTATATAGAGTAACTCCTCTAAATACCTTCCCCTGCAGGACCTACCTGGCTATAATCTCTCTCTCAATCTCT